TATTTCCTTAGAATAGATTTCTAGAAAATTATTTTACTAAATAAGAGGCTAAGACCATTGTATGTAAGGTTTTTCATACATCTTGAGTAGACCATTACAAAGCAAGCCAGCACTGTTAAGGCATGAATCGCATGTAAAATCTCTCAGAAATGCAGACTAATTGGCTCCTCCTAGGTCCATCCTTGTATATTTTTATTTCCAAATCCTCTTTCTAATACTCTGGGAGAAAATCTGTTCTCTCCTGGGGCATATGTAAGGTGATTCTTGGACAGCAGCACAGCAATCGTTTACAGGTCATTCAGTTGGGATAGCTATTAATGCCTTGTGCAAAATAAACCAAAGATCCACAGAAACACATTTTTGCAGGTGAAAATTATGTTAGCCAACATTATTTCTCACTCTGATTTATGATGTAAGGCATCAAATTTCTCCATTATTAATGTACATGTGCCTGTGGGGGTAGATCCTCTTGGAAGGAGATTAAAAAGACACCAGCACCTAAAATCCCCCTTCCTAATAACACGAGAATGTGCAGAAGCCTTGAGGGGGTTGGTACAGTAGCTCACTGTATCAGACAACACCCTGTAGAGGATTAGCTTTCTTTCCATTAACGCGTTCCACTGTAGAGAGTCAGGGGTCATTTGTGCTCGCAAGAGAAAACGCGACATTAAGTAAAGTATGCTATTTGTCTATTCAGCACTGCATACCTATAAAGCCTCTGAAACCGCTCTGTAGTGACTGAACACATTTCTCATTTTCCCATTGCTGTTCCCCCTCCTTGGCCATTTTCCTAAAACCATAATTCAATCTTTCCAAAGGGAAAAAATAATCTCTGGGTAATCCTTTCAAAGATTCTTAGAAAGAAATATTTATTCTTTAATCACTCTTATGGAAAACGTACTTGTGATTACTACTAGGATTCAAACTGTTTCACCACCCACATGCACTTGGGCAGGGTGAGCATGGGCAGACATGTAAGCAGAAAGGCCTTGAGCTTAGAGAGCTTGGATTCTCGAGCCTAGAGAGCTTGGATTCTAAAGCCAGGGAGGCTCATGAAAAGAGCCACTCAGTGCATTATACCCTAGAACTGAAACTGTGGGAAAGTACTTTTTGATTGCGAAAGGGTTAAGTGGAGATCTCTGAGCTTAGAGAGCTTGGATTCTAAAGCCAGGGAGGCTCATGAAAAGAGCCACTCAGTGCATTACACCCTAGAACTGAAACTGTGGGAAAGTACTTTTTGATTGCGAAAGGGTTAAGTGGAGATCTCTGCATTACTTTCAGTAAATGTCCACCTGTTTTACCACGTGTACAGAATGGGAAAACTTTAAGGTAGAGGATTTAAGAAAAGAAATGGGAGGATGCCTATAGGAGGAGGGGTAAGTTGTCTTCTGAGTATTACAAAAATCTACATTACACTTACATGGTAAGTGGGGAGGGTGAGTTCTGGGGACATGCTCCATATCCATACTGTGAGCAGAGAGAGAAGGAGGCCCAGCTTCTGGACCCCTGCATAGAAGGGTGGTGCCCTTTGGACCCAGACACAGCCTCCTTGTCATCTGGAGCATGCTTTGTCCAGAGCAGGGACCCAAACGGATGGAGAAGTCAACTGTCTGACCCCTCCTCTCACATTCATGAATGAGATTCCTGGGCACAATTCCCAGTTTTCTTCCAGAAGCTGGAGCAAGACAGTACCGAATGAGAGTCGAACAGTGGCCTCACCGTCACCTTTGCAGGGCTCCACCGTCGTGACGGGAGATCTTGACACTCCAAGCAATGCAGTGTTTGCCACACTGGCAGCAGTAACAGAGCAATGTGCAGCCAGCAGGGGGATCGAAATTTGCAAACTCAGTATCCTGGGCCTCGGGCCAATGCAGGCTGGGTGCGTTGCTGTGGTGACACATTTAGTCTCCAGGGAGGGATGCTGGCACACCAGCTGCATTCCTGGCACCACATTTGCCAGTGAGAAACTTTGGAGTGGGACTGGTATCAACTCCAGAGAGAGATGCAAGCTGCTTTTCTAACTTCTTTGGCAACAGTACCCTTTGCAACTTGGGCACAATACACCCTCCTGAATATTTACAAGAACTGCTATTTGTGATACTCTTTGGGGCCCTGTTGGATGGTACTTCGAAGGGAAGTACTAAAATGATAGCAGCTTTCCAGTTTACAAATGAAACTATAGTATCCCTGAATAATTCAATTTCCTAAACTTGGCACCTAACTATGCAATGACTTATCTTTTGCTGGGAAGGGATTCCAAACCTCCACCCCCGCCCCCACTGCCCCAACTTTTAAAAATAGCTTTTACTGTTGCCAAAAGGAGAGCCTAGTATTTACTATGGGAGGATACGTGAATTAAAATACTCGTTTCTTTCCCTGTTGCAATTCACAGGCTCTGTATTAGCTGAGTTCTCTAATACCTGAGAAAGGTCTCCTTGCAGAAGCGCCCTTAGTTCCTCAGAGTGCCTGATCCACCTCTCTTATTTGTGCCTGGAAAGCAACATGCACTAGGATTTGGCCACTTAGTATTCAGACCATGTAAAGATTCAAGTAAAAAGCCTATATTGCAAAGCTGGACACACAGTCGCCAGGCCAAACATAGTCAATGGTTCAAATCACAGTTAAATTATAAGAAAGCATGCGGTGGAACATGCGGACCTGACTTGTCAATGGAGCAGTAGAGATAAAAGGAACCACTCCATAAATGCCAACTTGTGAGGCTTTAGTGAATGCGGAGACGGTGTTCTTTCTAGCTGCCTCCAGTTGACTGTAAAGGCTAGTTAGGATTTTGAACATAATGCTTTTATCCTCCTTCTTTTCCTCTTCTTCTTCCTTTGTCTTCTTTTAACATGCAAAGCATCTCCCAAGTATTGAAAAATGAACAATTCCTCTGTGTATTTCCATAGTTTTGCAAAGGCACAGCGATGTTAGCAGGCCGAGCGATTACTACTGGAAACATCAGATGCAGCGGAGGAAATGCAGTTAATACAATAATTCACATATGTGAATGCTTAGTTCCATCAATGTCAGCTTTATTTTCTTCTTGATATACACAAAGCTGGCACACAATTTTAACTGATGAGGTAATGTCATTTTTAATTTAGAGAGCCTTAAGCTGTCCACTTTAACTAGTGATATCATCTTTACAGTTGTCCCCTGAGACTTCATGTAAACATAAGTAATGTGTCCTGGGCAGATTGAAAAGGGATTGCTAAAGATGACATTGGGTCATCATGAAGATTTCCCCCACTTTGATCTCTTTTAAATTGCCAGATACAGTTGATGTGACTGCCATATTTTAGCCATTCCTGAAACTAATATATCCCAGGACTTTTGAACCAAGTTAAACACAGAAATAAAATAAAGGTTTGAAATGAACAAACTGTAATGTTTTCATGTCATTTCTAGAAGAGAAATGGAAGACAAATCAGATTCTCTGGCTCCTAGTTGATTTGGTAAATAAAAAGAGAGAAAAGGCAAGATGCTAAGAAACATATGACACCATAGGAACAAAAGCCTTCTTATTTTCCTAGGGGCCACTAGGGTATGGGTGCTGGTTTTCTACCTTTTAATGATAAATAAGATCCAAGCACATCTGTTATCTCAGTGCAATCTTTGGAGTGATATTTTTATTGTCACTTCCATTATCATTTGTCTCTTTAGTGTGTCATTATTAAACCTGAATATTTTTTAAATCATATCACTTTGGTGATTGCAATGTGTCATATTTCTTTTTCAAATAAGAACATTTCTTTAAAGATTCAAACAATGGTATTCCTTTAAAGGTTCAAACTTCTGGGTGTAAATAAACTTACTTCGTATTTTTAAACAAACTTTTTTCTTTGAACAAATTCTGTTCTATGATCCAAGTATAGTTTGGGGCGAGATAATCTGTGTTTTAACCATAGGATGTGGATACTGAGAGAGTTTTTTCTAAGAAGTCTGGAGTTTGGTGGTATTGAGTCAAATAGTAAAGAATCTGTTTATTATTCTGTGGCCATATGTTTAGAGGGTCGTTCACAGAAATCAAAGTATTGTTCATGGACAGCTCCAGCCAACTAGACATTTTGAATTCATAAAAGAACTTCACAGTTTGAAAAGAATGCATAGCATTATGTATTAACACCCCACCACTATAGAAAAAGGAACACAATTTAATAATAGAGGATTGTGCTCATGAGATTTTTTCTTGTTAATTGGTTACTTTAACTGACATTGTCTGCAAGTAAAATGGACACCATTATTCTTAGTAGTCTGTGTTGCCAGATGATGTATACAGACATGGTGTAGTCCATTTTAATTATTTCATTTTGCTAGATTTTTTTTTCCTTCCCTGTGATGCAGTAGTAAATGCACATGGCACTTTTTTTCCTGACAGACTATTGTGGATCATGCTGGTTTCTAAGATACTTCAGATAAAAGAGCATTTCTCACCAACCTAATATTTCCTTCTATGTTTGTGTGCTAGATATGACTACGTG